CTTGGTGGATAATCAAATATTCAAATATTTATGTATATGGTTAAATTCAGGCTTGCCCATTTTGTATGACTGATCGAGATTGGAACGTGATAAACTAAAGTTCAGCCTCGTATTATACCGAACCATGGTGCAAAGTTAGTTTCGTGGATGAGACCGATTAAGATCGAAATCGACCAAGATCGAGACCGAACAAGATAGAGATCGAGGGAAGCTTACTGAGTCGAATAACAAAAAGTTGAAATATCCGTAATCGAGCGAGGATCACTGTGCGAATCCCGACACGTATCAAGAAAATGCTGATTAATTAGCCAATAATGAGATTTCTTACCTGATATAGAATTGTACTTAGAGTAGGATTCCCATACTTTATAAAGGGGAGTATGATCGTTTGTAAATCATCATATTCATGAAATACAAAGCAATATACTGTCATTTTGTAGTTATCATTGTCTTGTTATTCTGTTCTTAAGCCAGTTGATACATATTTGGTTCAAAGGTGATCGAACTCGAAGGCCAAGGCTGTTCAATTTGTGTGGTTTGCATTTATTCTTTAATTATCTATTTCAATACTAATTTATTCTTCTCAATTTGTACCAAGTTATATCACGTGTCCTTAAAACCGCGTATAAATTCAATTGTTCCAATTTTAGGGTAAACAGTTTGGCGCCCACCATGGGGCTAAGGATAATAGTGGTTATCTAGTACACATTTTCATAACACACACTATTTTACACTTGTTCTTTGAAGTATCTTTGATTACATGATTAAAAAATATCAAACTCTCGGCCAACACCTCAGCACATTGACAATGATCTTGGCCACCACGACGAAAATGAGAACGTCGCACTAGGAAACATTGTACCCCCTGTTGGCCTCGATGGAATTCCAGCTGTAGATCCAATTGACGTTAGTTCGCATGTAGCCATCAATGTAAATTTGGCCGTCGATCCCGAAAGAAGCATCCGCGGGGATTCCTGATCAGCTACTCAGTGTGCACGTGGAAGTGAAGATGGCGGGATCAGCCTGTGGGTGATCTTCGAAATGTTGCAGGCTCAACAAGCAACAATAACCCAGCTCTAAAATCTGAACCATACACCGAGCAGGATCGAAATCGAGCCATCCTAGGAAATCGTACACAGGGTCGAATCGGTTTTGAGTAAATCAAATGAGAAGGAATCGAAGACCAATCCTGTTATCATAAAGATGCTCGAAGAACTGACAAAGCGAATCGAGACAGGGGGAAAGAAGATCGAGGAAAATGACAAGAAGGTGGAAACCTATAACTCCAGGGTCAACCAGATCCGGGGGGCACCACCGATATTGAAAGGACTAGATTCCAAAAAGTTCGTACAAAAACCTTACCCCCCGAGTGCGACTCTGAAGCCAATCCCCAAGAAGTTCTGTATGCCCGAGATTCCTAAGTATAATGGGACGACTAATCCAAATAAACACGTCACCTCCTACACGTGTGTTATCAAAGGAAATGACTTGGAAGATGACGAGATCAAATTCGTCTTGCTGAAGAAATTCGGGGAGACTCTATTAAAGGGTGTTATGATCTCGTATCATAATTTACCGCATAATTCTATTGAATCGTTTTCTTTGCTTGTAGATTATTTCATAAAGGCATACGCTGGGGCCATTAAGGTCGCAACCAGGAAGTAGGACCTTTTCAAGGTAAGGCAGAAGGATAACAAGATGCTCAGAGAATTCGTGTCTCGATTCCAAATGGAACGGATGGACTTGCCATCGGTCACCGACGATTGGGCTATTCAAGATTTCACTCAAGGTCTCAACGTTCGAAGTTTAGTGGCTCCACAACAGTTGAAGCAGAATTAGATCGAATACCTAGCTGTCACTTGGGCTGATGTGCACAATCGGTATCAATCGAAGATCAGGGTTGAGGATGATCAACTAGGGGCTCCTTCGGGGTCTGTTTATCCTATCAGACCCGTTGATAGAATCAAGAGGGGTGTAGACTAAGAACCAAGGTCGAACAGAGATTGATATCAGCCTTATAATGGAGATCGTAGAGGCAGCGGGTCTGGGCAAAATTTTGCACGGAATGAGAGGAGAAATGATACGAGGTCAAAGTTCACAGGAACTCATGAGTAAAAATGGCTTCGATAGATCTATCGGTCCCAAAATAACACCACGATTGTCGGAGTACAACTTTAATGTGGACGCAGCTGCCATCGTATCTTCCATTGGATGCATCAAAGATACCAAGTGGCCTCGACCTTTGCAAACTAATCCAGCACAAAGGGATCCCAACCAAGTATGCAAATATCATGGCACACATGGCCACATGATGGAGGATTGTCGACAATTGAGGAGAAAGTAGCTCGTTTGTTCAACGACAGTCATCTTCGAGAATTTCTTAGTGACCGAGCTAAGAATCACTTTAGAAATAGGGATTCCAACAAACAAAATAGACAAGACGAACCCCATCACGTCATCCATATGATCATCGAAGGGACCGATGTCCCTCAAGGTCCGATGATGAAATGCACCAAAGTGTCAATCACAAGAGAAAAATGAACTCGGGATTACTCACCAGAAGGGACTCTATCTTTCAACGACGAGGACACAGAAGAAATCATCCAACCTCATAATGATGCACTGGTAATCTCTGTACTTATGAATAAAACTAGAGATAAGTGTGTGCTAATTGATCCAGGTAGCTCGGCCAACATCATTCGGTCGAGGGTCGTAGAACAACTTAGCCTATAAGACCAGATCGTACCTGCGGCCCGAGTGCTGAATGAATTCAATATGGCTTGCGAAACTACTAAGGGAAAAATAACATTGCCGGTAAACGTTGCCGATACCACCGAGGAAACCAAGTTTTATGTAATCGACGGGGACATGAGATACAACGCCCTGTTCGGGAGACTATGGATCCACAACATGAGGTCCTTACCTCGACCATTCACCAATAAAATTCCCAACACCAGAGGGGATAAAGACCGTTTAATGGGGAACAACCCGCCGCGAAGCAGATGTTTGTTGTTGACGAAGCAATTCCGACATCAACACTCTCATTGACAAAGGACTCAGGTTTGAAAGCGAAACAGGAAGCCAAATAGCAATCATTGATTCCACCTTATACCCAATCGAACAAGCAATGGATTGACGAAGATGATGACTTCGGGGTCCCTCGATCTTTTATCGCCCCCGATGATTCCAACGTTACCAAGTCAACGGTTGAAGAACTGGAGCAGGTCGTGCTGATCGAACATCGGCCCCGATCGGAAGGTATACCTAGCCATGGGGTTAACTTCCGAGCTCAGGAAAAAACTCATTCAATTTCTTATAGCTAATATGTATTGCTTTGCTTGGTTCCATCTTGATATGGCAGGGATCCCACCGAAGATCACTACTCACAAAGTGAGTTTGGACCCAAAGTTCCACCCGGTAAAACAAAAAAAGGAGACCCTAGTCCGAGATCAAACATGCCTTCATCAAGGATGAGGTAACTAAGCTCCTTAAAATAGGATCCATCCGGAAGGTCAAATACCCGGAATGGTTAGCAAACGTAGTCGTGGTTCCTAAGAGAGGAAACAAACTTTGAATGTGTGTAGATTATAAAGACCTAAATAAAACATGCCCCAAAGATTCTTTCCCTTTGCCTAACATCGATCGCATAATCGACGCCACGACCGACCACAAGACTCTAAATTTTTTCGATGCCTATCTCGGGTACAAACCAAATACGGATGAGCCCGGGCGACCAAGAAAAAACCTCTTTCATCACTAAATATGGCACATACTGCTATAACGTAATGCCATTCAGATTAAAAAATGTCGGTGCCGCCTAGTATACGGACTGTTTGAAGAACAAATAGGAAAAACCATGGAAGTTTATATTGATGATATGCTAGTTAAGTTCCTACGAGCAAAGGACCATTTAAAGCATTAGCAGGAAACCTTCAGTATATTGAAGAAGTAAAACATGAAACTGAATCTAGAAAAATGTGCATTTGGGGTCGGGTCCGGCAAGTTTCTAGGATTCATGGTATCCAATTGAGTGATTGAGATCAACCCCGATAAGATCATAGAAATCGAGGATATCACGGTAGTGCATAA